TCGCCAAATGTCGAGTGCCTGATAGTCGGTTTCAGCTGAAAAATGAGAATTTCTGAGATTGCTTAGCGACCATGTGTATTCTAAACATCTGTATATTTTGAGCCTTTCTCCAGCGCTAAGGCTTAAAATTGAAGCATTTCCTAATGTTTGAATGAGCTTCATTTTTCCTCTTTTTATTTTGCTGTAATGCATTGAGGTGGTGCATTCAGGTCTTCAGGAAGTTCTACAGTACACCACTTACCGTAACATGAAGTCTCGTGGTAGCATTGATCAAACTGTAAAGCTCTTCACGTCCTTGAAACTGCAGAAGAACATCTCCTGCTAGTTCGACTCGAGCTCCTTGCTTAGCGTTGATCTCAACACGAGGCTGCCTGAAAATGTCCACTACAAATCACCTATTCGACTGGAAGGCTCAAGTCTTACTGAAGATGCATTTTTTGCCGGAGAAAGAATATGAAGTGCTAAAAAATGCCGACATACTCTGTTAAATTGGCGGAGATTTCCAGAAAGCATTTCGAGCACATCATACTAGCGATTTTCTTGAAAGGCTTAGGAAGATGCTGCGGTTCAATCCTGAAAAATGACTCTAGAAGGGATAAGAACAATCAAGAACTAGGAAATTGGATTATCGAGGGTTTGAGCTCTAGTGGACCGCTCTGCCTCGGCGATGCTCTTGCAGGTCATTCAGAAATTACTGTAAAATCATCACTTCGCTGACAACTAGGGGAGTCTCAAAAATGGCTTTAAAATAAGTACTCTTTGCTTATCGAAAACCTTCATTCAGCGATAATCGGGCCATCCAATGAAGCTTATAATAAAAGCGTTTCTGGGCTATCGTAGGATAGGGTGCATGCCGGTGATAACGCCCTTAAAAATCTCCTACTTTTCACGGGCTTAACCTCAGGCGCTAGAAGAGAGACCCCAAGATACGTGATCAATTTGCATTCCCCAGAGTTCCTACCCCCTCTCAGGCTTGGTCCCCTTGAGGATGCCCGCGTATATTGCGATAGCGCCCATTTTTGTATCGGGGACAAGCGCTGTTGAAGAGGGCTAACGTCAGTTCTACATTTGAGGGTTGATCGTGTCGGTCGCAGGGCCGCGAGAAAATTAGTCTCCAAGGCGGGGTCCACGTCGACTGGAGTGCGGATGCGGTTTTGTGACGTTCAGTAAAGTTATGCTAGCTGATGGTATTAAGAGAGGGGTCCTGCACCCCGAGCAGTCTAAGAGTCTTAGTCCGCAATATGATGTCATCACGCGCAACCTCCAGCTTTGTGGCGTCACTGCCTTTGATGAGATTCTACTAGTCCTTTGACCAATCAATATGAACATGCATTTCTTATTCAACTCCAAAGTATTATATAATGTTGATTTACTTGCATAAAGAGTTCCCCCAACGCATTGTGAAGATGTGTGCAAGAAGGTGTTGGGTATGGAGTCAGGTTTATCCAAGAAGGTCCAACCATCTGAAAATTTTGTGATTTAGAATAGTGGACATGCATCGATTTCCACAGTGGCTGGGACTGGCTGATTCAATAAAAGGCTCTCACAGTAAACTAGAGGTAGATTGGCTTTTTTCTAAAGAAAAAACTTGAAAATATCTATCTCTGTCCTAGTTCAATGTTACAGATCAATACCCACGATATGCACGCGGCATCGACAGCAAATCTGCCCATCACAGATTCTTATGAACTTCGATTAGCCTCGGTTAGAAAATGGAACGAATCAGTTGAAAACGCTTGGTTAAGGGCTGGCTATCTCAGTAATGCGGCTGTGCTAAGGCAGTAAGAGACGAGTAGAGAGAATGAAGCGAGAGAGTGCAACAGACAACAGCCTGCGAACATTGCAGCTGCTGCAGCATACTTTGCAAGGCTGTAGCACTCTTGTCGAGTGGTTTCCATGCACGCACATCTGTGTTGCTCTCTCTGATCGCAGTCTCTATTCTGTCTACAGCAAAGGGAAGCGCTCCACGACTTCTGCCTGGCTGTGGCCTTTGAAAGTGAGAGTTCGCACTGATCTATCATATTTGACAACTCATTATCTTTTTTACTCCAAAGCCCCTCTTTCTTCACGTTAGAAGAGGAATCAATATAACCCTGAAAATAACATTAAAATAAATAATTACAATAAAACCACAATAAATAAATTGTTGAAATTGATTGATTAACAATAAGTTGGCCAACCTTCGTGTTTAAAACACTGGGTGTCAAGCTGGTGGAGTTCGAGTTATCGGCTGAGCGCGTTGAGATGAGCAGGCCTTCCATCAAACCCAAACACTACATCCTGGAACATTCTGACCTCACGAAACAACCAGAATAGGTATGAAAAATGCTGAAGATGAAACTTTTCACAATTTTTTTTTTCACAGTGCAGTGAAGTGGGCGCAGGGTAATCTTATCCCCCATAAATACCTAGTAACTAAGGTGCCACCAGATTGTCTGGAGAATTATCACTCCGACCACTCGGACAGAACACTGGAGGTCGACGAAAACAGCTGGGCGGCATCCTATCAAAGACTGTTTCAAGGACTCTAGATGACGTTCGTATGCATGGCGTATCATTGTAGGAGACTAGCAGAAGCCGAATTCTACATTCCAGGAAGACCCCGCCTTTGCATGGAAATTCCTCCTCGAAACCTATTCGATCACTCAATGGTTCAAATTGGTTCTGATGGGCCCAAAGAATCCAAAAGATATTTGGGAAATGAATGGGTCTAGAGTGAAAATAAACCCCAATTTTGAAAGTGCTTTCTTTCCTAATTTTTTTTTTTTTTTTTCCCCCCCCCCCCCCCCCCCCCAAAAAAACCTCTTCTTCTAACCCATGAGACAATGTTGGTACGTTACCTCGTCACTGAACCTCGGTGGATAGACAAGATCAAGATTGGCGCTCCATGATCCTGGAGATGCGGCTTCATCGTCAGACTTCGGCAATGGAGAGGACGTAGCGGCTGGTTCTTTGAGCCGCTGAATCTGAATGCGCGTTTTTTACAATACAGTAACCATCAAAAAATAAAAAGCACATGTTCGGGAACGTACTTCACAAAGGCTGGCACCGAACTCGGCTGGATCAAAGCCGGATTCAACAGATGGGGTGGACGACACAATTGTAGTACCAGTGGACTTGTCTATTGGCTAAATTTTGTATGGTGGAAAGATGGGCAATGAAAAACAGTGCTGCTGTGAGTCTCAGCTAAATTCATGGCATTACAACATTAAAGCAACAGTCCCAGCAGGGTGGGCGTGGTCGGAAACGACTGCAATCCCCTCGGCCGATTCCGACCACGCCCACTTCAGCTCCCTCCCTAGCGGCTTTCCAAGGTGAGTTTTTGTTCAGTCACACTTCTTACGTTCTTGACTAGGGGCTGAACAGCTCCGAAGTGGGAATCGGCCGAGGGGATTGCAGCCGTTTCCGACCACGCCCACCCTGCTGGGACTGTTGCTTTAGTTCCATCTAGAACAGGAAGATTTACGGATGAATAAAAATTAATGAAAAATTAAAATGGTAAATAAAAGGAAAAAAGGCGGTAAAAGGTATATAGCCTTCTAAAGTGTAATTTATTCTATTTCGAACAACTTACAACATTATTTACCCCTATTTCGGAAAACGAGAAAAGCGTCGAGTGCAGACCATACACCACAAGTGACGACGGCCAAGAGAAAAGTGACTTTTCTTCTTTTTTCTTGGCCGTCGTCACTTGTGGTGTGTGGTCTGCACTCGACGCTCATCTCGTTCCCCAGAACAAAGGCGAAAGGGTAGGAGATTAGAGGAAAAATTTGCGTCTGGAAAAAACTGACGCTACATGTCGGGCAAAATAATGATTTCGTATCGAGCACGTATATTTTTTGTGGTAGAACTTACAAGCAAATTCTGAAAAACGGAAAGCCCATGGGAAAACTCGATGTAGGAAGACCATAGATGCAGAAAGCAACACCCATTTAGACTTAGCCCAACCACGAGTATTTCACTACTGTGAGACGAGAGCAGTCTCATAGAAGCGGTCAAAAATACAGGGAAAGAAAGAGGAGGCACTCCACTTCACATTTCAGACAGCATTAATCACACTTTGCTAAACTCAAACCGACTGCTCCCAACTTAATATAAGAGCACATCCCAATCTATCAATAAACGTTATAATAGCTTTCTGCACCAAGGACATCACAAGAATTTGCCATGGGAACCTTGTGCACGGTTCGAGCTCAACTGGTCCTCGACGGATCATGGACCATTACGACGTTATCTGAAACGCTGGTCGGAAGGGGTCTTGCACATCTAGAGCTACAGGCCATATCTCGAGATCTAATTAGGCGGGGCTGCGGACTGAGGCAACCAGTCGCTTTTGCGCATACATTTCCCAGTGACTTGGCTTCCGGCTTCCGTAATCCTTGCCTGAGATACCGCGCGACGACTGTCAACTGCGGCAAGTTCTACGTCAAGTCCGCAGCCCCTCCTAAACAGACTTCGAGATATGGACTGCACTGTTTCTAGGAAGCAAGCCATCAGAT